TCGAGCGACGAGCCGCGGCAGCTGGTGCTGCACTTCGCGCTCAACTCGCTGCTCTCGTCGTCCCTCTCGCGGCTCGTGGCCCGGTTCTGCTTCTCGGGGCTCCAGCTGAGCTTCGGGCCCGGAGGACGTGTTTCAAGCGGGGTGTTTCTGTGGACGAACGCACGGATTGAAGAAACCCAGCGGAAGGATCTTCCAGCCATCCCCTTAGCTTTTTAGCTTTCTGGGGCTAACCCACTAACAATTAGTCACTGTTAGCAGGGGATCTGAAAACGGGCAGCCCAGTTAATTTCAGCAATTGAGAGATACCCAAATGAGCCACAATCAAACCCCGGTTAGATGAAGGTTAGAAAGGGGCAGTCCCAGCCAGAAATAGTTGCGGCCGCCTTCTTAATTCTTTACATGGTTTTGGGTTGACCATTTTGATACCGGGTTTTGATGACTCATTTTGGTCATTTGAGAGCAGGGAAGCCACAGTTCGCTTGAGTTGGTGGCCATATGGTTTGATTTGCAATGGTTTTGATTGTTACCCAAATTGACGACGGTGAACTCGCAGGAGCTCTGAGCTGCGAGGCTTTGGAGCCGAGTGCCGAGATTTCCTGCACGGCAGTGCAGGGCTGTGGCTCCTGTGTGGCCGTGGAGGGAACGGATCTCTTGGTCCCCTTTCAGAAGGCGCGACTCAAAGAAAAATGTGTGGCGTAGCTTCGCCCAGGATTTTTGCGTCATATTCCCTGTGCGTGCAGGGTAAGAGTTGTTGAGAAATGCTCACTTGTGGAACTTGGGGGTTGGTCAAAAGGCCACAGGAACATGGGAGCATTGGTTGGAAGACTACTAGAAAGATTTTAGATATTTCAAGCGCCAAATTGGAAAAGGGACCCATGATCATTTGGGCGCCAATATTATTTTGATCAACCCCCACAGCTTCGAATTCCTTTTTTTGAGCCACTTGCTCAAACCCGATAAAATGAGGGTTAGAAAAGGGAGAGTGCGAACCGTAAATGGGTGCAGTGCCTTTACATGATTCAGGGTAGACCATTTTAATACCAAGTTTCGATTGCGACTCTTTTGGCACCTCCAAAATAGCTTCCCTTGAAATCTTTCGCCTCTTGACACAAGGTTTCGGTCTTGGGGTTTCCAGTAAAACCAACCTGAGAAGGGGGTCTGAACCACCAGAAGGGAGTCTCAACAACGCACAGCTCAGGTGGCCATTTCTCTGCCGGCGCTGGTGCCGGCTGGGTCGCTTCTGGGCGTCAACATGGAGCTCGTGGGGATACTGAGCACGGAGAGCGTGCTGCAGGGAGCGATCTTCACCTCGCCGCTGCCCATGCTGCCGCTCTTGCCTGTTGCGCTCATTGCACCGGAGGCACCCACACTGGATGGCTTCCAGGTGGGAAACATCCAGTCGATCCAACAAAAGAGAAGGGACGAGCTCCAAATTCTTGAAGGGGCTCACTCATTTGCCGTGATTGAGGAATCACGCTTTGACCTCAGGTCGAGATCCAGCTTGAGAGGCTCAACAATACTGAGCTGTTGGATGTGTCTCTCCCTGTGGGCCTCTCTGTGGACACTTTGACCTGCAGCCCGCGCTGCGTCTCGGTGCCGCCCAGTTTGTCGTCCCCGGAGCCGGTGCTGCGCTTCTTTCTTGGCGAGGAGACGTCGACTTCGACTTTGTCCATGGAGCTCTACGCCAGCGCGCCGCTGGGGGAGAACGAGAGCTGGCAGTTCGTGAGCCGCAGCGGAGCCCTGCAGGCCCTGGGGGCCGTGGCGCGGCGAGGCTTCGCGGTGGCCTACCCCGTGGACTTCGGCATAGGGCTGTCCTCGCAGCGCGCGGGGGATGCTGCGCGGGTGCTGCTGAACTTTCGGCTCTTCGCGCGGCTGGAGGCCGGCGCTTTGGTGAAGGTGGCCGTTCCGCCGGGCTTGGCCAGCGAGCCCACGGTGGAGCCCCAGAGTCTGTTCCAGTGGTCGACTTCAGAGCTGAATAGCACCTGGCAGTTTCAAGTGCTGCAGGACTTGTCCACCGGCGTGACTTACTCGATTTCGGTGCCCATCACGAATCCGGTGCAGAGCCCTTCCAGCACATGGCGCTTGCAACTCCTCTTGAGCACCTTGCACTCAGTGGGAACCAGCGCAGGCTTTCAGGTCCTCGGGGAGTTTGAGTCTTTCACTGTGCTGGCCAGGTCCTCCGTTCCCGAAGTTTCCACCCCATCCCTGGTCCGATTCCAGCTGCGCACCCCGCTGCCGGCAGAGAATTGGCACTGGCGCCTAATAGCGAGCACTCAGACTTTCGATCCTGGCAAGTGCATTCTGGATGTCTTCACCACATCTTACGCGCTCCCAGTGCATTCCTTCACAAGGCTGATTCCTGATGACTGTTTGGTCAGTGCTGATGGCTCTTCGGCACAATTCATTTTCAGCCAGTCAGTCACGCCCCAGCAGGATTACGGATTTTGGATTTGGACCACAAACCCCAGCTCGGGCGCCTTTCGCATTTTCACCGCCAGCACTCTTCTGAGCGGCTCCAGCGTGCACCAAGCCTCCTACCGCTCTTCGCTGTCCGGCTTGCAAGCCGTTGTCATCCCTGGCTCCTACACCGCCGGGGCCCTGCACCGCGCGGTGCTGTCGGTGACTAGCGGAACGCGGCTGGAGGGCCAGCGGGGCTCCATCGAGCTGCGGCTGCCCAGCGGCTTCGCGGGCTCCTGCGGCTTCTTCCGGGTCCAGGCGTCGCTGCCCAGCACGGCGAGGTGCAGGGCCTTGGGCGCCACTGCTTCGTTGCGGCCGCGCATCCAGGCCTGGACCAAAGTGGGTTAGAACCTCGAGCCCGGCCGCCTGCGTTGCAAGACACACATTTCCAAAGGTTGCTCAAACATGAGGTGTTCGGAGCTGTTAGGGGATCAATCTCAACAGGTGTACTGGCGCTCTCTCTTTGGGGCGGAGCTGACTTTTCCCCTGGAGTTCGCCTTCGCCCTGCAGAACGCCTTCGCGTCCGATGAATCGAATTCCACGTGGAGCGCCACCATCTTCGAGGGGGAGAACCAGGATCACCCCAGGTTGAGAAAATCTGTGAGGGGAAAAATTGTACGTCGAAATGAACCCCGTTTTTAAGAGTTGCCGAACCGATTCGAAACCTGAAGCTGGCCAGGTTTGTTGTTTTGCCATCTGAATCTGTGAGAAAAAAACGCAGATTCCAGCTCTGGGAATCCCGGAATAACCGGCTGAAACACTTGGAGCTTCCGGCGTGTCGCATTCCCTCAGGACCTGGCCATCGCCTCCGGCACTTGGCAAAGCTGGCGCCCCTGCGAAGCTTTGCCCCCTTTGCCCGGCAGCTCGGCGCGTATCAAAACAAGCACGCACAACACACACACACACACATCCAGACCGGGGCGTTGCTTTATCGAAAAAGGGGCCCGGCAAAAATAGGAGGAGGGTTGGTTCGATTGCAGGAATTGGTTCCGATCGCTTGAAGATCATGATTGGAGCATGCAGCTGAACCTTGTTAGGTCCCTTTTTTTCTGGTCATCTCCCGAAACCCGTTTGTTTGAACCCGACTAGACTCAGTTGCCCATTGTTTTCGGCACTTGGAAGCAAGCAATGTCAAAACAGGCGGCCTGCGCGTGGCGAGGGGCTTGGACCCAGCGGTGGTGTCCGTGGCAGTGAACCTGGAGCAAGTGACCGTGGCGCCGGGCTTCGACACCGCGCTGCGGGTGGAGCTGAAAACTTCTCAGGCGGGGACGGGTATGGAGCTCGCTGGCTGCAACCGCTTCTCCCTTTTGGCGTATTTGGAGCCAGGGAGCCACAGATGAAAGACAGGTGTCCCTGTTTTTGGATGGGCGGGTCGGGTTGGGTGGGGGAGCCAAGGAGCCAGGCATGATTCAAGTCCAAGCTGGGGGGCTCAATGACCCCTGCAAATCGTAGATGTCCTGACCGCTTACAGTAAACCCTAGAGCCACATGAAACTCCAAATATGAGATCCAGGCGCAGGCGGGATTCTTCATGATTGTTCCTCTTTGCGCTCGGGATTTCTGGAGTTCCTGCCTCTATGAAAGACTCACAATGGAACGGTCCGAGAAATAAGATAATGGCCGTCCTCTTACTCTCCTCGCTCGTCTCAACCAGTTGCTGGGTGCTCTGACCCTACAAAGGTGGGGCAAGCAACACAACTCAAAGGACACCTTTTGGGGCACACAAGTCACAAATACCTTTTGCCAAGCATCCAACGAACCAATCCTCCACCCACCCACCCACCCGCCCACCCACCCACCCAACCAGCCAGCCAGCCAGCCAGCCAGCCAGTCAACCAACCAACCAGCCAACCAGCCAACCAGCCAACCAACCAACCAACCAACCTTGAAAGTGCCTCAGGATCCTTCTGTTTTGGGACAAAGACAACGAAGTCCCGCTTCTGACTTCGGAGGCCGCGCCGGCGGAGCTGTACTGTCCAGACAGCTCCATTTGGCAGGCGCGGGACCTCTTCGGCCTCGGATCCCTGGCGTTGCCCAGGCCATGGGCGGGGGCGAGTTTTTTTTTGGGGTAAATCCTTCTTTTTCTTCCCAAATATATATATATATATATATATGTTGAATTTCGGTTGAAGGCGAAGTGAAATGAAGGTTCACGGCCCACTGCACGGCAAAGAGCTTTGGTTGAAACTTAGTTGGCTGGGGTTTTTGTCAAGACTTGGAACCACAGAAGTTGCGGGGGACCATGGAATTCAGACGTCTGAAAATTTCACATGGTCACAACGACTAACATGTTCGTAAGGGCGTGTCTTTTTGGGAGGGTACTTTTTCGGGGCTGGTTTGGAGGGAGAGTCAAAAGGAAACCACCCGTTTGGAGGGTTCCCCTATTTTCAGACAGGTTGTTTCTCAAAATAGGAATCGGGCCTCAAACTGGCTTCCTTTTGATTTCCCCCTCAGGAGGAAAACCCTTCGTGTTGCCATGCTGAAATCACCTGGGCGGAACATTCAAGTCGAAAGGACTTTTGTTTTTAAAATTTGGTACGCTCAATCCCTCATGTTGTGGCGCTGAGGTACACCAAGTGCGTGGAGGAGCCTCGAGTGGCGTCCGTGTCTCGGGGCGCGCAGCACAGCTCGGCGGTGCTCTTCCTGCTGCCGTACCAGCGCTTCGTGGGCTCGGTGCATGGGCTGGAGGTGGTGATGAGGAGGAGCCAGCAAGGCACAGAGATCCGGCCGGATGTGGGTGTGGCTCAAAACCCAAATCGGTTAGCCCCCAGTGAACATCTGATTCAATCCCAACTAAAATAGGTTCTAAAATAGGTGGTGAGAACACCTACCCCAAAATGGTACCGTTGGTTTTGGTCAAAATGCAACCACCAGACGACCCCAGGTGTTAATCCTGGGTTCCATGTACCAGTTCCATTTTGGGTACCCATTTTTGACCCACAGCTATGTGTTGCTCTTGGGAATTTTGCTTGCTGGTGCGATAGGCAGGGACTGAGTTGGAATGAACCCGAGATAAACCATCCCAACTAGTGGGTTCCTTTGTTCGGGAATTGTCAGGTTCTTTCCAACTCATTCCCGACTTATCGCACCACCAAGTCCTTGGGACTTTGGGTTGGAAGGGTTCCCCAGAAAGCCACCGGGGATGGTGCAGTTCGGGTTCGACTTCCACTGGCTGGAGGGCTCGGCCCGCCAAAGGGCCGCCTTGGAGTGTTCTTTTGAGGCCATCGGAAAGAAGACTTCGGCCAGTTGCATGCTCAAGAAAGGGTAAGGAAGGGTCCCAGTCCTGATACAAAGGGAATCTTGCTTGAAGGTGAAGTTGTCATGGGGGTCCCTTCTTTGGATGCTTCCAACCATCCATCCAGAGGGGTGCATAACTTTGAGAAATACCAACGAGGGGATGCGTTTTCCGGAGGAATATGCAATGTCCCTTTGAAGGAAGCTACCCTTGGAGAAAAAAGAGCAAACAAACAAGAAACAAAAGAGTGCGTTCTTCTATCTTCCCGATTTTTTTTTGTAGGGCCCTCCAAAAAAGCTGACCCTCCCCTTGCAGGCATTGTGGAAAAACGACAACTTCCTCTGGCACCAAAGTGGGAGTTGCCCCAGAGAAACCCCGTTCGAGGGTACGCCTTGTCCGTTTGTTCTCCCGGAAAACACAAGGAAGCTGTAAGCACCCATTGTTTCTGAGTCCTATGTGGATCCCTTCGACTTTTGGTCTTTTTTTGAGGCTACCCACTTTTCAGGGGTGCTTAAAAGAAAGAGGCAAGAGGACCCCCGAAGCGATTTCAATGGGGCTGCCCATAAAGTTGACGAAATCGGACTAGACGTTTATTTGGCTTCGAAATGCACATAGGTCTCGGGCCGAGCGTCCCATTTTTTTGTTGAGAGAGGCTTTGTGGCTTTGGAGCCCTCCGCCTCCGAAGCCGCCGCGGAGCTGGTGAACGTCTACCTGGAAGCGGCCAACCAGCGCCTCCGCTGCGGCTCCGCGTTGCTAGGCGGGGCGGGCGGGGTGCTCGCCGCTTGCGCGCTTCGCTCGGCTGGGAGGTGAAGTCTTGTGGCGCTTTTTTGTTTTTTTGTTTTTTCTTTTCTCCATGGTGCCTTCTCCAAGGAATTCGTTTTGCTAGGTTCAATTTTCCGCGGCTTGGCCTCGGAGAGTTTACTTGGAGCCGAGCGCTTGACTGCCAGGCGCTGCCAGCAACTCCACGGAGTTGGCAGGTGCCTTCCCTCTGGATTTCTGTGATTTAGAGTTGGTTTAGGGTCGGCTTATGGTTGGTTTAGGGTGGGCTTATGGTTGGTAGAGGGTGGGCTTGTGGTTGGTTGGTTACGTTTGGCTTACGGCGGCGTTTTGGACCCCAACCGATTTTTGTATATTTTTGTGTGGTGAAAGCGAGTGACATATCACACTGGGGCAATGAAGCGGAGTGTTAACAACAGTAAGGAGCTGACACCGTCGCGGACACCACAGGCAGCACAGCAACAGGCTAATTGCTGGCCGCGTGATCTCTGAAAGCTGACTCGAAAGCATCGGCTACACCAGACACGGGCACAGCGGCCGGCGACGGATCAAGGATCGACCTCTTAGATGCACTGGATGATGATGCGGCTTTCCTGAAGCTCCCAGCCATCGAGGCGTGGGGCAAGTTTTCGATTTGCGAGTTCTCTTTGGATCCTTTTTCCAGGTGAGCCACTTGCTCAAAGCCCGGCTAGAAGGGAAGGGAGAATCTCAACGATAAACGGCTGCGCCCGCCTTTTGAGAAGCATTCACATGGTTGTGGGTAGACGATGTTCATACCAGGTTTTGATTGTGACTTAGGTGTTCGAGCTGCAACCGCCTCGAGTCGCCCGAGCAGGCCCCACGCCAATAACTCGCGAACGGCGCTTGGCCTCAACGAGGTGCTCTCGGAGAAAGGCGACTGCCCGCGATATTTCCCCGTGTGTAGTGTTGTCTCCTAGTGTTGTTGAAGGAGCCTGCCAAGTGATTGGTGGCGTCCTACGTTCTTTTCAAGTGGACAGACAGAAATTCGTTTTGAGAGGTGGACCAGCTCTGAGAAGTCCCTCGCAGTGGTGAATCCAACTCAATGTCCATCTGGCCACGAGAGAGAGAGATCTACGAGCAACAAACCTCACTGAATCACAGACAGGAATATCTGTTCCTGAGTGGATTGGCCCCCCAAAAAATCAAATCGGGGAAAATTACATGTCCGGAAGTAGCATGTGCGCCGGCGTGTGACGGGGCGCGTGGATGTGCTTACCATGTGCAGACATGTGCGCCGTGTGCGGGTGTGCTTAGGCATGTGCGCAGGCATGCGGCGGACTGCGTTGGCGGCTGTGTTCTACCATGTGCCACGTGCTACAGTGTGCGGGGGCAGGGGCAGGTGTGCTTATCATATGCCAGGCATGTGCGCAGGTGTGCGAGAGAGTGCGAGCGGGTTTGCATCTCAACAATAATCCACATTGTGTGGGCTGGTAGAAAGTCTGTTTGCAAAAACATCTGCTGGAAAGGGTAAATTGAAGTTGTCTTCCGGAGGCCAGCAGGTTGTCCAGAGGATTCGTGGCAAGCTGGGAAACCCCAACATGGGGTGGTTTTCCTTCGTTCTTAACTAATCAAAACAAGACACGCCCCTTTGAACATGTAGTCAGAGAGATGCAGGTGATGTTCTAACGTTGTTGTATTCATTCTTGCCGCAGCGCACTCGCGTCGTTCTGTTCCCTCAGCTGTTGGATCAGACAATGCATTGCATTGTTCTGCTGCACACTCATCGTTCTGTTCCACACTCATCGTTCTCTTCCATAGCATCGTTGTCTGTTTTTTGCTTCAGCAGGGTTCAAACGTAGACGCCCGTTCGATTTGGGGCCTTTGTTTCCGAGACTGGGGGGGGGAAGGTTGCTGGCGCTCTCCCAGTTTGAACGCCTGTTGGGCGGCGTGGACATGGGGTACCTGGTGTTCGTGAGGCCCCGGTGCCCTCTTGGCAACAACATGTCGTGTTGCGTCCATTCCGAGGAATAGGAATAGCTCTAGTATGTGCCTAAAGGCTGCAGCCACAGGTGCGCTATGCCGAGCTCGCGCCGAAGGCTGCCAGATTCTGCGCGCAAAGGATTTGCCGTGGAAAATGGGACGTTGTGCTTGCATTGAGAGGAGTAGTGTTCTTTTGTTGTGCTTTGTTTGTACGCGTCAATGAGCATCCTGCAGTTTCATCGATGCCACTCAATATGTCACAGGCAAGCTTGAAGCAATACCGTCTTTGCTCAAGTTGAGTCTTCGCTTGGAACGGATGCCAAATTGGAATCGAACTTGCCCACAACATGCATTTGGGACAAAACACATGGACAAGTGCATTGCTGAACACACGGTGATACCTGAGATTGCTGTTCACAGATTCTTGGTGTTACCTCTCTTGACACTCCCGTAGATCGGGCAAACGCGCGGCAATGGAGAGCAATGTAGGCGGGCTATGTCGCAATCGCCTTCAAAGGACCCACCCCTTGCTGGCCTCTGCTTTGTGCATCATGATCAGAATTCTTCGCCACTTTTTTGTTGGTTCGTGCTGTGAGGGTACCCGTTTCATTTTGCTTAAAATGGAACCAAAAGGACACACCCCACTTTGGGCATCTTGACACCTACCGTTTGCTTCATTTGTTTCCAAGGGTGGGCAGTGGCACCTGTCGTATCTGCGAGAGCAAGCTTCGCCGGCAGCTCAGTCGAGTTCATCACGGGCTTCGTTTGTCTTTTTTTCCAGCATACCCTTTCCCGGTTGGTTCGAGGGACATGTGATTTGAGGGTTACTCTATTCGGAGACCTACACATGTTTGAAGGACCTTGGGGATGAAATCAGAGGGTCACGACGTCGATGGAGAACAAGGGACAACCTAGGACCCTCCCACAGCCCAACAAAAATGCTTACCTGCTTATAAGAGGTTCTTAGAAGGGTTCTGATAATTTCTGGTGGGTAGGGGGGGAAGAAACTGATGAGCCACATGTTGCAACAACTTCTTACCATGGCCCAGGCTGGGTCTTCTTGGCATCGTGTGGGCGATCCTTTCGTAAGGCAGGGGTGGGAAGAGGCGTGGGTCAGCTGCAGGTTTTGCAGTGCGGACTGTGACTGCAAGCGTCTGGGCTGTCTTTGTGAAGAGAAAGTTGCTTGGGGAGGGGATGAGGGTGGTTTGGTGCAGATTTCGTTCCTGTGCCTCTCTGGCACATCACTCTGTGAAACCAGGGGCAGCATGTGGAAATCTGCTGGGAGATGGATTCCGCTCCTTTACACAATTCAGATGAGTTCCGTTTTGGCCGCGGAACCAACTCCTAAACGCCAGCGCGAAGTGAAATTTTTTCGTGAAGGGCCGCTCCAAGCGGTCCATGGCAGGCGGAGCTCGACTGGAGGTTCCGGGTATTATGTTGCCCGGCGCCCGGGGAAAAGTTTTGTTTCGCTCGTTGGACATTTGTGGTTTCCTCGTCCTGTTCCTGGCTTCATGGCTTCATGGCTTCATGGCTTCATGGCTTCATGGCTTCATGGCTTCATGGCTTCAGGCATGTGCCTTCTGCGGGCGGATTCCTCAGAGGGCTGGTTCTCAGGGCTCCAGGGGCGTGGGGATCCCTTCCAAAGCTGGCCCACATGCAGCCCTTGTGTGCATTCCACACCGCCGTTCTTGAGTTGATTGTATACCGTTTTAACACTTATTTCTATTTTGATACTCACTGTTGAACTGCTTTCTCCATTTCTTGCTTCCTGGGGTTTGCATGAGTAGTGCTTTGATTTGACGAATGAGCAGGTGGCTTGGATCTTAGCTCGGAGTGGACTGGGACCCAATACCTGGACAAATATCTCATTTTGTCAGTTGCCTGCTGAGAGGAGTTGACACCCAAAAATACGTGTGCATAGCTCCTTCCATGACAGAGCCCCACGCGTCTTACCTTCAGGGCTTTGGCTGGAACCTCCCGGTCACGATCGTCCCGGGCGGCCTCAGTCGGGATCTTGAAGTAGGAAGCCCTTCCTGCGAACACTTGTGGGCATCCGGTATCTGGATCACTTTGCGGGGGACCAGTGTCCCGGTTCTAGTCCTTGGCTAAGTGCGCCCGAGTTGGGCGAAACTAGATGGTGCAATTTCATAGTTTCTGGTTCGCCATCCCGTTACGACCGGGAATGATGGCATCCTTCACTCTGGTTGAAGGTCTTTGCGACCTGCCGAACTCTTTCGGCACTCCGCTAAGCGGCGTTCGGCTCGCGCCTTGCGAACCTGAGGTCCTTCGCTTGGCCAAGAAGAAATCAGGCGCACAATCTGCAACGTGTTCCCGCGCGTTGCTGTTGCTGCTTTCACATAAAGCCATCATAAGCCAAGGGCCGCATAGGGTCTCATACAGGGTGTCAATACAGGGCTGCATAGCGGTGTTGAGCCTGACTGCGCGGGACTTCAGGAGAGAAGGACACAGTCTACAAAGACACGGTGCCAGACGCCTAGTCGAGGCATGGCGAAATAGCTTGAGGTTGATTCCATTCGTGGCTTTTGCAATGTGTGACCCAGAATCAGCACTTAGTGAGATTTGTTTGCTGGATGTGATCCTGGTGTGGCTCAAAATTAAAGAACTAGGTTTTGATCTTTGTTTCCATTTCCCCAGGTGCCATTTGGGTACATTTTGTTGTGCCACAGCCATCTGGGCGATTTGTTTCAACGCACTCGTCACGGCCGAGTCTGCTTCCCACCACTACCTTCTCTCAGCGAGCCAATGCCAAGAAGAGGGAGCCCGGGGCCCAGAATGCGGGGGATGCCCACTGGCAGGCATGGTGAACACACGCGAGCGCACCCACACACACACACACCCACACGCACAGTACCTGGTGATGCCTCGGCACAGTCAAAGTTGCAAGGGAAGTTGTCATACCACTGTCATGCCGCTCTTGTCCTGTTCAAGTAGGACCTCGTCAATGTCGACTCATAGCCGTAAAGCGCCGTACAGTTCTGGGGCCTTTCTGGGACCTCCCCCCCTATCCCAGTTCCCACGAGACCCACCTGACCATCAACAAACCCCTGCCCGCGACCTGGGGCCTGGGGCGCTCAAAAGGGGCGCGGGATTTTGCCGATTTCCATGGCAGGCCCGAGCTCCAAGAGTTTTGGAAGAAGCAGGAGATCTACCAGAAGCTCCAGGAGGGGAGCAAGGTCTGACTGGAGCAAGTCTGACTGGAAGGTCTCACTTGCAGGTCACAATCTCCCCCCCAAAAAATTGAAGGTTTGGATAGGGGAGAGAGGCTTCTTGACTGCGACTATGGTGGATCTTCTCCCAACGTTTGGTCTCATCTCACTTAAGGCGGGCCGGGCTATCCTGAGTTGAAGTTCGAGAGCGATGTGCTAGCCTTGAGTGGATTGTTGAGAACTCGACCATTCAGAAAGTGCGGGCTATGACTCGACAGCTTCCGGAGGGAAGAAATGCGACGACTGCCAGCCAGCAATTCACCACACACCAACTTCCACAGTGCGGGTCGCTGTTGGTTGTCATTTAGAATAGCACCCTCTCAGAATCGGGATGAGTTGACAGTGCTCAACACTGCCAAGACGATAGAGCCCAGAGTCTCGCAAGCATCCTTTTGACGGCTCTGTCAGAATGACGAATTTGTTCAGAGGAGTATTTTTTCTTTTTTCGCTTTTGGCTTCTTGGCTTTTCGGCTTCTTGGTTTTTCGGCTTCTTGGTTTTTCGGCTTCTTGGTTTTTTGGCTTCTTGGCTTCTTGGCTTCTTGGCTTTTCGGCTTCTTGGCTTCTTGCCTTTTTGGCTTCTTGTTGGTTTACGCGGCTTTTGGTGGCTTTGGCTTTTCGCATCCTTTCCCAGTTCCTCTCTGGTTCATTGGTTTTTGGCTTTGGCTTCCCGCATCCTCAGCATCACCAGTCCCTTCCTATTTGAATCATCACCTTTTCCAACATCATGGGGGGGGCTGCCCCCCCCACCCGCCCCGCCACTTGGATTGTTTGCAAAGATTTGATTGCACCCCTGTTTGAATCATCACTTCTTCAAACATCATGGGCGGGGGCTGCCGCCTCCCCCCCCTACCCCCGCTACTTTTTAGATTTCTTGCAGAAATTTAATTGCACTCCTATTTGGTTCATCACTTTTTGGAGCATCAACTTTCGCGAGAAAATGCTGTAAAATACGACATTTTGTGTATGTAATCTATGTATTCTATGTATGTTGCATGTATGCACTTCTTCGAAATCATAGGGGAAGCCACCCCTGCCAACCCTCCTGCTGCTTTTTATGTTCTATCGCACCCTTTCTTGAATCATTGCACCCCTACTTGAATCATAACTTCTTCGAACACCATGAGAAAGCTCCCCCCCCCTAACCCCCCCGCTGCTTTTTAGACTTTTTGCAGAGATTTACTTGCACCCCTATTCGAATCATCACTTCTGCGAACATCATGGGGGGGCTGCCGCGCCCCCCAACCCCCGTGCTACTTTTTAGGTTTGCTTTGCAGCGAGCGAAATGCCCTCCTATTTGAATAGCTACTTTTTAGATTTTGTTACCCACGATTTGTTGGTGATGCTAAAAAATGTTGGTCAGACATGCGGGGGATGTTGAAAACGATGCTGGGGATGTTGACGGGCTAGTGTCAAATATGTCAATGTTGCGAGAAAATGTTGTAAAATACGACATTTTACTGGCCCAGACGAAAAACGGAAAAAAAGACAAAAAAAAAGAACCAAACAACAACATAAAACGAAAAACAGTCCCAGAATAAATCCGCACCCGTTCTTCGGATGCAGATGACAGTCATCGGCTCCTTAGCAGAAGCCCTAATGAAGGTAGCAGTCGGAAGGGGAAACCATGCCCATCCCGTGCACAACATTTTTTCATGCGTTGCATCCTGGAAATAATTGACATCAGCTGAGCTGAAGATGCATGTGAAGGAGGGCGATAGCAAACACGCCTTGTTGTCACTCTTGCTGCCAAGATGTTGCAATGCAGATCTGGGATGTGCGCGTAGAGCACAGATGCATTGCTACTTCAGGTCAAGAACCGCTAACTGTTAGATAAGTCGATCCAGAGGTAGTATGGGCTGCTCAAAAGGCTGCTCACCATTGGTTGCAGACGGACTGATCCCAGTTCGTACACAAAGTAACCCATTGGCTTTCAGCCTTGCTTGATTTTTTTTTTTTCCTTCAGCACAGTACAGTGATGGCGTAACACGCAACCAGCGCTGCCAAGCACCTTTGTGTTGTATTTTGTTTCACTTGTATTGCTTGCCTGCTTGCAAATGAGCGAGGCTCGAGCCTTTGAACAACATGCAGGGTTTTGTGTGCTATGCGGAAGCTTTTTTCGATACCTCTGGAGAATCAATGAAACCCAACATTGAGATCCAAAGTTTTCTCTGCACAGGTTCTGTCTAAGTTTTCAATAGTCCATGTGCTGAACCATGTTCACGGATCCCAGACACCTCCACAAAAACAAGATGTGCTTGGTTTCAACATGGAGCATGAGCGTGGGTTCCCCAGCCCACTTGACTCGAGGACGTTTGTTTCTCGGGTCCCATCAGGGTCCATGTTCACTGTTCCAAGCCGAGAAAGGGACATGGAGCCCCACCAAATACCATTGGCGAAGGGTCCTGTTGTCTGATGCGGTTTGTTCTTTCTTCCCGGGGCTCCCTGTATTTTCCCCTTTTGCTGGCTTTAGACGTCACACTTTTGGGACTGGTTTCGGAGCTTTTTCTGTTGAAATGAGGATTTGAAGGGGAGCCCTGTATTTTCTCAGACATTGGGGGGTACGGCTAGGAGATGGATCACGAAAACGGAAGCTTCGTGCTGCACGACGGGCCGCCCTATGCCAACGGCTCGCTGCACATGGGCCGCGGCCCCACGAAGTGCCAGGATCCGCTTTTTGACCCCCCTGGGTCAACTTCAACCCGGTGGCATAGGCGTCCTTTTTTGTTTTTGGGTAGTTTGGTTAAAAATGGAAGGGTTCCACTGGTTTAGATGGGTTTGATTCTATTTACCCAAAAGCCATCTATTTTCCCAAAAGGACACACATGCCCAGTGGGTTGATTTCCCATCCAGCGAAACAGTTGGACCGCTGAGAGTGCGGTCAAGTTACTTCCGGTTCCAGGCCAGGGACCGTAGGCTTAGGGATGCCCATGGTGGGAAAGCTGGAAAGATTTGAGAGCCACAGGTGTTTGGCCATGCAGCTCGCGGAAAAAGAGAGATGGGTATGGGTCAAAATTAAGGCACCAGGGGACCGCAGGTTTTCGTGCTCGGTTCCATTTGCTAGGGTTCCAAAATGGATATCTATCTTTGACGCACAGCCAGATGAGGGATTGGCCCATGAAGGTCCTGAAGGCTTCCAACTTTTTCCAATTGGATTGTGGCATTTGGGCGTGCCTCTTCTTGGGGCACCCCCTTTTGGTTGGTTGGTCAGGGAGCGTCAACAGGACAAGACACCCAGTTCTTGGAGACCCATGGACGACAAACACTTTTTGCCCGACGGACATCTTGACGGCGCTTTTGCGCGCAAAATGCGAGAGGCCATGCGCTGAACAAGATCTTGAAGGACATCATCAACAAGTTCAAATCT